CCTACAACCCTTCAGACGCGCAGCTCCTGAACATGATCGATTACCTTAATGCCACCTATGCAACAACATGGGGAGCTTATCCGGATTCTCTGAGCGGAGGTACCCGTTTCCCGATCCGTTTTGTACTGGCCCGCCGTACGCCCGGTTGTGCCGCTACCAACGGTATCATCCGTGTCAATGGTTCTGGCCTCGCCGGTTATACCGCCGGTGGTATCAACCTCGACCAAACCCTCGGCGCTGCTGATGAAGATGTAAAAGCATTGAGCATCTGGAGCAACCATGATTATTATAACATATGGGTTGTAAATAAGATTGACGGAGAAGATGGTATTTCACCCGTATCTTCCTACGTAGCCGGATACGCCTACTTCCCAGGTGCCGGCGCCACTCGTGATGGCACCGTGATGCTGGCTTCCAAAGCTGCGGCCGGACAAAAAACATTACCCCATGAAATGGGTCATGCCTTCGGTCTTTATCATACGTTTCAAGGCGGAACAACAACCGTATGTCCGCCAAACACCAACTGTAATACAGACGGTGACATGATCTGCGATACCCAGCCGCAACGCCAGAGCAATTTTAACTGCCCGACAGATCCTAACCCCTGCACCGGCACTTCTTACAATAATGTGCAGCGCAATATCATGGACTATTCAAGCTGCCCCGACCGGTTTACGCCTGGTCAGCGCACCCGCTTTTTCTCCTCGCTGCTTGCTGAGCGCCCTTCCCTGCTTTCTTCTTTAGGCCTGTTGGCACCAACAACGCCCGGCGTAACCGCTGCTGCCTGTACGCCAACCACCACTACCCCGGGTAATACCTTTAACGCAGGACCTTCGAAAGTGATCCTGAATGATATGACTGCCGAAACAGAAGGTGGGTATACCCGCGATGGTAACCGTGTTTATTTTGATAATGCCTGTATCCAGCGTGCCAATGTAACCATTGGTCAATCCTATCCATTGTCGGTAACTACCGGCCCGAACCCGGAGCGCGTTCGTGTTTATATCGATTATAATAACGATGGCATCTTTGGCACTACCGCACCAGAGCTGGTTTATAGCCACGATGGTACAAGGAGTAATGAAGTACATGCAACTAATATTACCATACCTACAACCGGAGTTGTTACCTGCGTACCCTTGCGTATGCGCGTAGTAAGTGACCGCGTTGCAGCTGCCACAGCACCTACCGCCTGCGGACCCCTGGTTACCGGGCAGGCAGAAGATTATAGTGTACAGGTGCAGGGACCAAGTAATACCGGAACGGTTTCAATTGCCCTGACCGGTGGTTCCAATCCATCCTGTATCAACGACCCGCTTACGTTTACGGCTACGCCTGCCGGTTCTGCAACCGCCCCTACCTTTAAATGGTATATAAATGGTGTAGCAGTTACCAATGCTACTGCAACCACTTTTGCATCGGCAACCATAG